GTGAGATCAGCGCTCGTCAATTTTTGGGCACATAGGGTTATTGGTGTCATCTTAAAGCCTGTCCATTTGCCTTCCTTTTGGTAAAAAAAATATCCATTTATATTGAATAAAAGTCAAAATATTTATCCTTGAAGGATGCCAGGGTCGCCTGGTTTCAGAGGTAAAATTTTCGATAAAATTGCGGCCAAAATATGGTAGCTTCCATTGCCCAAGAGTCCTCGGAAACTGAATATGTACATTTTTGGTGCCTTTAATCAATGTTTTTCAGTAAAATCCACACCAAAATTTGTTTTTAAATAGACATAAAAGGCGTTGAGCCAAAAAAGACAATGTAAAAAATTGTCGAATTACCAAAAAAAAAGTGTATTTCTGTGATTTTATTAATTTTGACGAGCGACTGGTTTTACCACGATGCCTCACATATTGTTATATTCCTGAGTACGGTAAAACTATAATTATTGCTGTTCCCTATTCTTTCTATGTACAATGTCCGTTACAAACTAATTCTATATCAGCAAAACGTCTTGAAAAGTGAACGTTATTAACGAAAAGAACGTTTTACATAGATGTTTTTACCCCCCGTGGCGGTGCCACTGACTGAAGTGTCTTCAGGCCATTCCTAAAGGGGGGACATTTCTCGTTCATGCAAAGTAGAATTGTAAATGGGCTGATTCATCATGTCACGCTTATAACTGTGCCTGGTCTACAACAGGGAACCGCTGCTTTTCTTTCCTAATCCGTCCTATTGTCATTTTTCCTCTACTTCTTTTGAATGTTTGTCACACTTTTGTGACCCGGTATTTTCGGGGTTCCTTGAAAGTCGAAACAGACTTTGTGCTTTTGAAGCTTGAGAGGTGAGCAGAGTAAGCCTGATTCCCTGTAAAGACCTCTCTGTTGACTTCCACACCTTGGCGCTCATATGGACTTATGCAGTTGCGAGTGCCGTAAAACCTCTACTAAATTTTTAAAAAATATTGTTTTAGACATAGCTTTAGTGGATGGTTGGCGGGTGCTCTGGTATGGATTACTTTTTCTTTCCTATCAAACATCTATCGTCCTGATCTCTTCTCTTTTTTGTGTTTGTTACTCTCTTGTAACACCTCTAATCTTCGGCACTTATAACATGACCTTATTGTGTTACGAGTGCCGTAAAACACTTACGAAAAAAAAGACATAGCTTTTTAAAGGTAAAAATTCTAACGGGGACTCCGGACTTTAGAAAGTAAACGTTACTTTAAGTAAAAGTCGAGAGTACGTTTTCAGCCGAGTACGTTATACCCAGGTTTTACTGTGGTATTAAGTCATGCAGTGCCCCACACCCTTCGGCCTGCTACTGACTGAATTGTCTTTAGGGGGGTCATTCCCAATTATGGGGGAGGGGGGAGGGGGGAGGGGGATAATAACCTGTTTTTAATGCGCAGCTGAATTGTAAATGGGCTGATTTATCAATGTCATGCTCATACTGTGTCGGAACAACTTAAGGGGAGCTGCTGCTTTTTCTGTTCTACTATCATCATTTTTCCCCTCTACAACTTTTGTATGTTTGTCACTCTCTTTTGAACTGCTATTTCCGGGATGCCTTGATAGTCGAAGCAGACTTTGTGCTGTTGAGGCTCAAGAGGTGAGAAGAGTAGGCCTGATTCCCCGTTTGGACTTCTCTGTTGAGATCCACCCCATGGCGCTCATATGACCTTAGGCAGTTGCGAGTGTCGTAAAACTTTACTAAAACAAACTCAGTATCTCCACAACAGAGGCCTTCCTAGTTCAGTGGTTATGTAGCCAGACTCACAACGTAACTGGTTGAAGGTTCCTGGAACAGCTTTGTAGTGTGTTTACCTTCAGTTGCGAGGGCCGTAAAACCGTACTAAAACTACGGCCTTGAGAGACAACGGACGCAGTCATTGTGTCCTGAGGTCAAATCATGCACACGTCCCACGATTGCGCTCTCCACACGGTTACATTAACCCTGATCAGCCAAAGATCTTGTTAGTCTGTTTGTGTTTGAGCGTTTAATCAGCTAATTGCACTGCATGCTTTCCAAGAAGTGTTTTGGGTTCTGCTTAGGTAATACATCTCCCGTGGAGAACCCTCTGGTAGACATTCCACCCTTCATATTCAGAAGACAAAAACTATCATTACACCACGCAGTCAAACAAAGCTCAACACACGACAACCCAGCCCACATCTGTGATTTTAAACTCGTCTGAGAGTCGGAAACAAGTGCAAAAATAACGACAAAACTACTGTGTGGAGATTCCTTCCATAAAATTATCATATTTTTTCATTCTGTTCTGTCTTGCCTCACTTCACTCACCAATTAGTGTTAAATCACAGCTGAAATTTCATCGTTTGACAAAAAAGGGAAGCGTATTGTGCTCGCATGGCTGCCTAGCCAGGCATCCGCGGAATCGAGCAGGTTGATCTTCAGGCGACAGAATTCCTGTCTGTCCTGTTGGGATCAACGGAGAACCATACAGACACACTTTAAAAATAAAGTTTGTGCGAGGAGCAATGGAACATGCAACTCCAAAATGCAATTTCCAAGTTGGGTTCACAAAAAACTCCGAGCCTCTCCAAAAGAGACGACGTTATTTTAGCTAAATTGCGTTCTAGACATACCTCTCAGACACATTGACACCTGCCGAGAGAGAAAATTCATTTTGTATCAGGTGACGTACCGACTTGACTTGACTTGACATATCCTAAAAGAATGTGAGGACTTTGAAAAAGCCCAAGGAAATATGAACGACTTTTAAAAAGTTCGCTCTCCTTCAATGACCCCATGCTGTGAACTAACGTGAAAACTACCTAACTGGAGTCTTGCGCGTTCACATGAACTTATGCAGTTGCGAGCGTCGTAAAACGTTTACCAAACTTAAAACTACTACTACTTCTACTACTACTACTACTACTACTACTTCTGCTTTACTACTACTACTACTACTACTACTACTACTACTACTACTACTACTACTACTACGGTGTCTGTTGTTCTTGCTGCTCCTAACCATGTTGTCATATTGCCCAGTAACTTTTTCCTTTGTCTGCCTCTGCCCCTCTTTCCATCGAACTTGCCTGTTGTTACAGTATTCTCCAATGCTTCTTTCCGCATTGTGTGTCCGAAGAAATTTGCCTGTCGCTTTCTTATATTTTCGTAATAAGCTGTCTTCTACAATTTGCTTCAACCAAGACTTCTTCATTTGTTTTTCTAGCTGTCCATGAGATACGTAGCATGAACCACAACTCTCGCCACAATTGTTCTTTCCACCTGTTTATTGATTCTCCAAGCTTCGCACCTGTATTTATACTAAATAATAGGATTAGCTCGATGTAACTTTTTAGTACTTTTTTTCTCCCCTCCAGTGACAGATTGATGTTTGTTAGTATCTGTTTTATTTTGTGGAAGGTTGCTTTTGCTTGACAAATGCGGCTTTTAATTTCGGTGTGACATTTCCCATCTGCTGCTAATGCTAATCATCATCATCATCATCATCATCATCATCATCATCATCATCATCATCATTGTATAAAGCAGATATTAAAACGGGGGCTCTCGTGGTCTAGATGTTAAGGTGTTGGCCTCTCATTCAAAGGTCCCGTGTTCGAATCCGGATAGCGACCGAAAAATATTCTTCTCTAAAATTGTCTCCTTTCACCTTCTTTCCTGCTCTCTAGTAATGTTCTGTTGTCTGCTTTCATTTCCACTTTCTACCCCCACCCCCTCACCTCCTTTGCCCCCTCTTCTGGGCTCCTGGCTCTTCCTGCAGCCTTTCTACTGTTACTCCTTGGCTCCTCCGTACTGTTGTCTTTCAGCCATACCCCTGATCTTCTGGCAGGAAAGATCTACACCTAGCCTTCTCGGACAAAGGCGAAAAATCTCGGAGGGCCCGTGTGCAAGTTGCGCACGTTAAAGATCCCTTGGTGGTCTAAAATCGATAAGAGTAGGCTTCGGCCGCAACCGGGCAAAATTCAAAATTTCCTACCAACTGAAAATATTAGGAGTGTCCCGCTCGCTCATATGACCTTATGCAGTTGCGAGCGCGGTAAAACACTTTACAAAAACAAAACAAACAAGATATTAAAACGCCTAAGACCTGGTAGTATTTTCAAAAATGTAATCAGAAGTTCAACTTTTCGCCCTCAACGGGCTTACTCAGGAACGTTCAGAAAATAATGACTTCACAAGCTGAAGAACACAAAGTGCGTACATACTACATGTCACAACGCTAAGAGGTGCGGTGAACACAAATCGGAAAGGCCAGACCAAATGGAAACACTAAGTCAAGAAGTGGTACTGAGAGTGACAGAGAGAGAGAGAGAGAGAGAGAGAGA